ATCTTTTTTTTTTTTTAAAGAGAGAGTGAGAGAGGAGAGAGAGAGAGAGAGAATTTTTAATATTTATTTTTTAGTTCTCGGCGGACACAACATCTTTGTTGGTATGTGGTGCTGAGGATCAAACCCGGGTCGCACGCATGCCAGGCGAGCGCGCTACCGCTTGAGCCACATCCCCAGCCCTTAATTTGATCTTTCATCTTTTCTTTGGTCTGTCTTTCCTCTACCTAAACCAGAGCCCCTTTGGACAAAGCAGATTACTCTGGCCATTTTCCAGTCCCATTTTTCATTTCTCTGATCAACAGGCAAGAAATTTTTAATACAACAAAACATGAAGCAGCTCTAAGCACTGAGTCTGGGCAGGGGTGGGGAGAGCTGGAGCGTCCGTCGCACACTGAGACTCATCCCCTGTAGGACCGTGTTGACGTTGCCCCTTCAGGCTCAGTGTTGTCTGTATGGTACAGATGGAAAGCAGAAAAGAGGAGTTGTGATTGTCTCACCTATTTTTTCCAACTTTACGGAATATATTTAGTCACATTATTCAGCTTGAAAATTAATAATGGGCAGTGTTCACTTTATAGGGAGTGTATAGCTCAGAAGAAATTAGCTTAACTTACTGATGTTTACTGTGGTGTTGAATTGCTGCGTATGTGGTACCATTGGTGGGAGGGAAATCATTATTTTTATAAAGATGTTCAATGAACCATTTTCCAGAGACAGTCTATTAATTTAAGTCTGCTGCTCTTCACCTGGAGAGTCTGAAAATATGTTAACCAAATTTGTAACAGCTTTAGGTGGGAGGCAGGAAGGTCTGCTGAGAGCTCTCCAGCAGTCATGGCCCTGGATTCTAATCGCAGGAATTGCAGCGGCTGCCTGGCTCATTGGCAGGTGGCGCAGTGGCTGTGTAGAGGAGGTCCACCTGGCCACATGTCCGTGAAAGTGGAAGAGTAACCGTGTCCAGGAGGGAGCCTTCATCCCACACCATCATTACCCCCATCACCACTGAGGTGGCAGGCAGCGGACGAGTGTGAGGGACCCACGTTCTGGTAGCTGCAGCTGCTTGAGCAAGCTACTCCTGTAGGAGCCTTCGGACCCTTGTCTGTGAAGGGGGAGATGGTGCTTCCTTCCCAGGGTGAGTGAAGGACTAGCAACAGCGCCCAACACCCCACAAATCCTGACTAGATAGAAAGGAAGTCAGTGCTCAGACTCCACAGATGACAGCTTTCATGATCAGTAGAGGGTCAAAAACTCTTCAGGCACAGCTGACTCTTACGGAAGTTCTTGTCCTTAGAGAAGGTGGCCATACTCAGCTTTTGGCCTTGGTGACCTGAAAGCCCCAACAGAAACTCTTTCCCTGGGAGCTGCTTGCTCTAGGGACGACATGGCTCAGAAGAGTTTTCAGGCTCTGCACACAAAGTCTCAGAAATGAGCAGCGTACCTGTTCAGACATTTCACCGTTTCCAGTTCCAATCCTAGATGGAGGCCAGAGCGTCTCCATCTTCCGCAGTGCCCAGGCCGGCTCTTTAGCTGTTCATGCCTTAGCTTGATAAGTCGTTCGTCCTTTCTCAATCTTTCATTTGTCCCTTTATGTATTCACCATTTCATTTAGTAGCTAGCTATTCTTAAGCCTCTGATGTGTGCCAGATGACAGATTAGGCACTAGGGACGCGGTGAGAAAGTCCTGGTGTCCCAGCCACTGGTCTCTGCCCCTGGGCAGCCATCCCCCAGCATGTGCTCGAGGCCACCTTCTCTGTTCTCTTCTGCTCCCCCTGCCTCTTCTCACTTCTCCGCAGCCATCCTTCCCTAGGCCCCATGAGCCTCGCCTTCCTGAGGAAAGTACATGCTGTGGCAGTAAAGCCAACTTCACAGCTTGTTCAAAGCACAGCTTCGCTTATTCTGTCTCAGCAGGAGAGGGAGCAGGACACATTGGAAGGGAGAACATTTCGTCATTCTTGCTGTGGACAAAGTGTGGCCTGGTGGGTTCGGGCMGGGAAGTCCACCCAGTGGCTTTTGCCCCTGCCTTCTGGCTCACTAGGGTCGAGCCAGAGAGGAGTTGGGGGTGGAGCAGGTGTATACAGAACATTGCTTTGTAGATGATTACAGGTTTAAAGAAGAGAGTCACTGTCATTCAGAATCCACACTGTTACATAGGCAAATAGGGATGCTTTCTATACTGTTGCCTGCAGTTCACAGTGAGGCTGGCTCATTGTGAGGAGGCCGAAATCCCGTGGATCTACCCCTAACCAAGACAGGAGCCACAGATCCCAGTGGACGAGGCCGGAGGGGTAGCTACAGTTGTAGTAAGGGAGCATCATGTAGAATGCCTACTCTGTGACAGGCTCATTGAAAAATGCTGACTAGATAGAAAGGAAGTCAGTGCTCAGAGCAGCCTTCAAAGATGTTATCAGAGTCCTTGTTTTATATGTAAGGATATAAAAACTCAGAAACTCTCCCAATGCCACGTGTCACATGCAACATAGCAGAGCCATACTTGGGCTGAATTCTGACTGATGCAAAGCCATGCATGCCACATCATGTTGGTCTCTGTTCATGGAGAAGTTTCCTGCAGACTCCTGCCAAAGCCCCTGAGGACAAAGGAGGAGGATAAAGAGGCTCCCCAGGTGTGCACAGAATGGTTTTCTTGAGCAGACCAAGCCACACAGCTCCCCTTCCCTCACTGGTGCCCGCGCTTTGGCGAAGCTGCTGCCTAGGATAACAGCAGCGGGTAAGGCGTGCGGTTTGGACGGAGGCCCCAGGAAATGTTGCCAGGGCTGGGCAGACCTGAAGTGGCCATCCCACCATCCCAGCCATACCTGCAGAAGTTGGGAGATGTCACTCCAGCTCTCATGGCCCTTCCTGTGCTTGAGATTGAGAGGCCTGGGGTGGGGTGGGCAGGTGCGGAGTTGCCCAGAGAGCTCTCCATTCCGTGTCCCCTCTGTCATGTCCTTAGCCACAGAGGCCTCCCATGGGGACTGCACAGCACCTCAGAGGGCCCTTCCACATGCAGAGTTCTTCCATGTGGGGGGAAATCAGAGAACCCAGATTCCAAAGGAGTTTTCCCCCATAACTTGACTTGAGAATTATTAGAAAAATAATTCTGGAAAGGGCTGCCATGTCAGTGCCATTCACRTAGATTGCTTGCTACTTTACATATTTCCAGAAAAGTAAAAAAAAAAAGGGGAAAAATCATCCATTTTAGCCAACTTTATTTTTAGAAAAGTATTTTATTCAAACATCCCCTTACTTATTACAGACATAAATACATGCATTCAGACAAATGAATCCACGGGAGGCCCATATAAAGTAATTGGCACATCGCTTCAGGATGCTTTGTCAGTTACTGGAGGAATTTGGTGCCTCCAACTTTAATCTTCTCCATTAAAATATCCATTCTGCCTTCAGATTGTGAAGCCCATAATATTTTAGACTGTCTCCATGGATCTGTTAGTTTTGCTTGTCAATTTAATTTGTGGTTCTGTGACTGGGTGGTTGTTAGCTGTGCACGGAAACGTGGCATCTGCAAATCCTGATGGGCGTGCGGGCTCGGGCCCCAGCCTCTCTCCAGGAGACTGGACACACAGCAGTCTGGAGTGGCAGCGGCACGTGCAGCCCGCCTAACGACAGTGGTGGTGTGTTGTGGCTGGCGCCGCCGAGGGCTTCAGAGACACTCCTGGGCTATGGACAGTGCTGCTCACTCCTCGTGTTACATCTTATCCCAACTGCCTCTTGATCCTCAGCCTCCTTTTGCTGGATCACTGCTTCCCTCTTCAGAGTTAACAATGCTGAGACACAAGATCACAGAGAAGATCGAATTGCAGAAAGTTCCAGAAGTCAGAAGCCAGTGTTTCAAAGGAAGCCAAGTGACCAAAGCCCAGATGTGGTTGCCTTKCCACCTAATTGCCACTTTCCCTACCCCTTTGGGAAAAAGAGATCTAGAGCTGTGGGAGCAGAAGGGCCCAGGGGAGACAGAGCTGGAGAAGCAAGGACTGTGGTCAGCTCTACGTGATGCCCGGACTATCCCAGCAGCCTCCCTGGGCTTCTCTGCAGGGTCACCTCTAAGAGCATGTTTTGCACATCTGCAAGGGGACGTCTCTTACCCACAGATCTGGGTGAAGTTCAGCTCCTCTACATGGTCTTCCAGCCTGACCCCGGGTCTCACTTCTGCTTGCCTCTCCTCCTCCCGGCACATGAATCCCTCGCCATCACAGAAGCCATTGTGCTCAGTCCAGCGCTCCTGCTTTCTACTTCTTTCTCTGCTTAGACACATTGTTGATGACCTCCTTAAAGGCTGCCTCCACCCTGGAGGCCCCTGACTTCTCAAGGACAGAGGCAGCCTCCCTCGGCGGGCCACAGCACTTTGCCCCGCCTGGTTCCTGTTGTCTATCTGGGCAGCCTTCCCCATGAGGGGTCGCCCCCTTGGGTGCAGGGGTTGTGGAGACACCATTCTTCTCTCCACCTCCCCATGTGTCTCTCAGACTTTGCATAGAAGAAAGTGTGTGTGTGTGTGTGTGTGTGTGTGTGTGTGTGTGTGTGTGTGTGTAGGAGAAAATGGAGAGTGGAGAACCCCAAAGGAAGAAGGGTTAAGAAGCGTTAGCAGGCTGAGTCATCAGGAAACATAATATTCCAAGGTCAGATGGAATGTGTCCCATTCTTCTGTCCCCGAGAAGGGCTATGGAAAAATATCACCTCTCCATAACATGACCTGTTAGGTGAAATGAGAGGTGAGTTAGGCCTGTGTATCAGGGTTGAGAAGCAGAGACTGACCCTCTTGGCTCCGTGGCCTGATTTCTGCCCTCCCAGAAGACTCTCAGTAAGCTTTTGGTGGTGGAGACTTGCTCACAGGCAGGGGTTTTGCCAAGAGTTCCTACAGGCAGCCTCCTAGGCACCTGGAGTCAAAGCTGTCTGGCCAGGAAGAGCCTCCTGGCTCTAGCAAGATGGAGTTCATTAAAGGCCTGGGGTTCAGGGGGGCTCTGGGCCAATCTCTGTGGGACTCTGTCTTGTAGATGATGTCTGTCCTCATGAACACCATTGTCTTTGAAGACTGTCGGAACCAGTGGTCGGTATCCAGGCCTCTCCTGGGGCTTATCCTGCTCAATGAGAAGGTGAGTGTGGTCCATGGGGGTTGGGGGTAGTCCCTGGGAGGAGAGGAAAGCCATCCTCCAGACTTAGCTGTGACAGTAAGGGCAGGAAGGAGCAGAGCCATCTGAGTGTGCTAGGACCTTGACAGCTCATAGCAAGGCCTCTGCCCCCAGGAGGGCCTTCCCCAGAGGCCTTGGGTCTTCAGTTGAACAGAGGCACCCTGTGAGTGAGGTGGATGGTTTGCTCAGCAGTGCTTCGGGTCACCTCCCCTTCCCTCTCTCATCCCAGGGGAAATCTGAGCATTAGCCCCTTTGCCTCCTGGGCCTGGGCCCTCTTTTAAACCTAGGATCCCAGTGCCCTGGGTGGTGGCAGCAGAGATGTGTTCATAGAGCCTGCGCCCTTGGTCAGGGAACGCAGTCTGAAGCTCTGAAGCGCACAGTCTCCCTGGGCCACCTCCTGCCACTSCAGTTTCCTCCTGAACCCGCCTGCTCCCCGCAGTCAGTGGGAACAGTACATTACTGCTTGGGAGAATGAATTGTCCATACAATAAGACAGTACTGGGGAAAGGAGCAGGAGATTAGAGGCAGCCGCATACATTAAAATTCAAACTAAAATCCCAGCCTTGGAAGGAAACTAATAGAAGAAGAAAATATATCAAAAAGAGCAGAGCTGTCCCATCATTCACCTGTGCTGAAGCAGCCAATTTTAGCCACATTCAATAGCACTGTCATTCATCTTCCCTCAGTGTTATTGTGATTTAAATCCAAGCTCTATAAAAGAGAGCAGTTCTTTTAAAATGATTGAGAGGGAATAAGGGCAAATTCAGTGTTTAGAAAAAGCTTATGACATCACAATATTATACTTTACTGATGGAGGCAATATTTCATGGTTTGGGATGAAAAACTAATAATTTTCTATTTGGTGTGAGTCACTGCATCATTATAAGAGGGAAAAATAAGTAGTTTTGTGCATTCCCGATCTTGTTCAGGAAGGCATTGTGGTTTGAGTGTGATGCCTCTGATATATAGTATTTAAGTATTAGTCTGACTACATATTAATTATGTGTGTTTCTGATGTGAGCTGTTTTAATGTATGATGGAAATTAAATACCATGCTGCTTGGGCTTGGGAGGGTGAACACATGCCTGGCAAAACGTGGTCTTTGTGCTGAAATTACGCCCTTTGCAATGATCAGGAGCTGTGCTCGGCCTCCGAGCTGTTTGTATAAAAGCCCACAGACCCGGGACAGAGAAGAAGGGGCTGGGTAGATATTTGTAAGAGGGTTAGACAGATTGTTTTCCTTAGTGCCAGTAGTCTCTCCTAGAGCTCAGCAAAGCCTCCAATCCCCTGCCTCAGCCGAGCACACCCATTCTAATGCACAAGCACAGAGACTTGGAACACAGCCCCAAGGCGTTGGAGCAGTGATTCTCTGTAGCCAGAGGACAGTAAGGCCTGAGGGGAGACCCTTGGCCCTTCCTTCAGTCACCCAGGTCACCCAAAGTGCTTGTGGCTAAGGTCTTCCTCTCAGCCTGGGCCCTTCYTCTCAGCCCCTCTGTGATGCCTGGAGATGAGCTGGGGAAGACTGGGTCAGTCTCCCCAGAGCGGTCAAGGGCTCAGCCTGAGCAGCGACAATGGAAAAATGAGGCCAGCAGAGTTTGTCGTTGTTTTGTGGTGATGGGAATTGACCAGGACCTCCTAAGCCAGGCAGACACTCTGCCACTGAGTCACATCCCCAGCCCCCCAGCAAGAGACAGAGATTTTTGTGAGCAGGGACAGTGCTATCCCCACCTGGGAATGTGTCTGTGCCAAGGTTTGCTCTCAGGGTTAGATTTTAATATAGACCCAGACGAAAACTCTTGAGCTTAGCAGGCCGAAAGGATCCGAGTGGTCCTGGCCCTCCCACACAGCTCAGGGTGACAGCCCTGACGTGCTTCTGTCTTCCACAGCATTTCAGTGAACTTCGAGCAAGTCTGATAAACAGCCAGCCTCTCCCCAAGCAGGAAGTCCTTGCCCAGTGCTTCAGGAACTTGATGGAAGGAGTGGAGCAGAACCTGTCCATCAAGAACAGAGACAGGTGAGCACTGCCCAGCAGGGCATCTCAGAGAGGCCGTTGACAGGCTTGTTGAGAATCATGACACTGTGCTTAACTTAACACGCATGTTGACATGGGTTTTCTGTTACACCTGGTGACCCTGAGCCAGCTCAGTTCCCTTCAGAGCACGTGACTGCTGTTTGCTTTCTTCCAAACAAAGTGCCGGGAATCACACAAAGATGCAGAGATGAATGAAAACAGCCCTTGACTTTAGTTTCTAACCCAACAGGAGAGAGACGAAAAATAACTATAATTGGAAAGTTGAACAGGAGAGCTCAAAGCTGCCAGGAGGATGAGGGGAGGCTTCCTAGGGCTGGAACAAGCACAGGCCCCGAGGCCAGACCACAGACCCCAGTTAAATGTGATCCCTGCCCCTGTAGGCCATGTGGCAAAGGCCAATAAAATGGGGCCCATGACCATCGACTCTGGGGCTTAAGTGGCAGGATGTAGTAACGGTGGAACGTGGGCAGGTGACCTACGGCAGTTGTAGGTTCCCTCCTCTGCCTGTCCTTCCAGTGAGGTCTAAATAGGAGGAGCTGAACCCACCGCCGAGGCTGCACGTGCCTATTCGTTCATTCGTTTAGTTCACAAACCTTGACTGGGCTGCTGCGTGCAGACTGGGGGGTGCCTGTCAGCACCAGGTGGTCCTGGGGCTGGCCCTCTGGTGGAAGACATGGACAGCAGCCCTTGAGAGGGGAAGAGAGTGTGTTCAGGGGAAAGCTGCCTGCGCCACCTTCATGATTGTGGCCTTAGAGTGCCTGTCCTTAGTCATCCGCCAGCAGTGCACTGTGGCCACCAGCCTGGCCTCAGTAACACAGGGCCAGGTCAGGTGGGACGTGTGACCTGTCCCCCGGCCTTGCGCTGCACTGGGAGAGCTGATGAAAAGAGGAGAGCCTGGGTGCCTCTGGGGAGGCTCCTTCGCCTGGACCAGGAACTTGGAGCAGCCCTGAGCTGCTCTGGAGTGGCATTGGGCAGCCCTTGGGTTCAGGAGAACAGGCCTTTGCAGGGAGTTTTCCTCAGACCTGCCGCTGTGTTGGGGTCTTGGGGACATTGCCTCAGCCAGCTCGCTAAATCCTCAGCTCTACAGTCCCTCCAAGTAGCTCTCATACTGAGCACCAAGAGGAGACATCAGGCATTCACCCAGGGTCCCCCAGCTCGCGGAGGGGGAGCCTGGGTTTGAACCCAGGCAGTCAACCCAGGGCCCCCTCTTTTTCAACCACCGCTTTCAGTTTCCCTTCTGTAAACTGGGGGTACTCACCTACCTGTGGAGAGACTTGTGATTACGTGCATTCTTGTGTAAGCTCCGTCTAGCTCCTGGCACCTAAACTTTCGTCCCTTTCTTTATATTCTCTGCCGCTCTGTGAAGTTGGGTTTTTAACAAATGTTTTGAATAGTAGGACCACAGACACGCACGCCGCCCAGCCGTCAGTGGGTCTGGCGACAGCCCTTGTTTTCCAGCAGGATCAGGGGTAGGTGCTGCTGGTGGAGCAGCGATGGCAGGGGGTGGCTGGGCGGAGCCAACAGCACAGGGAGCCTCCTTCTGACTGCTGCTTCTCTCTGCAGGTTCACCCAGAACCTCTCTGTCTTCAGAAGAGATGTGGCAGAGGCCCTGCGCTGCGATGGCCACACAGAACCATGCAGCCTGGACATGATGAGCTGACCCAAGTCCTGCCGGATGCCAAGCAGTCTACCAGGACAGCAGCGCTGGCTGGCCCAGGGGGATCTGGTTTTCAAAACAAATGACAGACTCCCTACCTTTTTATAAGTCTCGCCTAATTACACAAATTTATAACAGTACACACACAGTGTAAATTCGGTCTTTGCTCTGACAAAGCAAAACATGTTCAGTCTTTCTGCCGAGAGCGTTCTCCGCCCTCACAGTGCTCTGAAAGGGCATAGAGCGATATTTAACCAAAGAGCCTAATAACCCAGGTTTGCCTAGCCTTGCACTCAGCGGTGGTTCTACAGTCAAGGCCGTCAGCGTGTTGGTGATGCAGACTTCAGTGCCGATCCTACATTGAGACAAATGCCACTTGAACCAGTGAAATTAGTATTTGCTTTGTGTCTACAAGAAGCCGCTTTGGGGACTCTGGGCTGTGGGCATTTGGAAGGAGCCTTCCCCCGGGAGCTGCAGGCTCTGCCCCCCCCGCAGCCTCCAATAGAGCTGAGAGACACTAACACAATTAAACGACTCACAAACAACGCCTGCTGTCACTGGCACGCATCTGAGTGGTTGAGTCTAGAGTTAAGCTGTGCGACTGCAGGCTGCAGGGGGCTCTTCAGGAGGAGTCTAGTAGGCCTGGGAAGAAGTTCCAGTCCAGCAGCACCTGGCCTTCTGGCTCCGTTTAGTTTTTAAGAGAAGCTCAAGGAACTCAAATATAATATTTGGAGCAGCTCTACTTTCTTGGGCTGCCCAAAACAGTTCTAGGTGCTACAGTTGAGGTTTTGCAGGGCACACCTGTTCCCATCCCTTCACACAGACCCGCACTGCTGGGGGACTKCGACTCAGTCCAGCCCAGAGGTGCAGAGGGCCTGTTCAGCCTGCCGCTGCGCAACCAGGCTATTAATTTGAGCTCGCCACTGTCAGATGGTGTTTGTGTCTCACTGCTCTGTCCGTGGTTCAGGCTTATAATAAATACGGTGCCCTTTGTTTCTGATAAGACATGAAAGGTCGGCCTTACTGTTGAGCAAGCAGTCATCCACAGGCTCCTGTTGTAATCTCATTTCTCAGACTAGTGTGTCTCAACCCTTCTTGGTAGTTGAGCTTTGCAACAGGCCTGTCATATGAAAGCGGAGTCGTCCACGTTTAGCTCAAAGTGTTCGTCTTCCCTGTGGAGGAAGTCGGAAAACTGTTACTGGTGGGATTCCTTCCAGTGTTTGATGGATAAGGAAGCCCGGGCCTTACTCTGTTTTCCTTGAGAAGGCGAATTCTGGACTCTCTAAACCTCAGCGGTCAAGAGAAGTTGACAAGGATTCCTGTTTCTTTGAGGCTTGTAACTGCACTAGTCCCACAAAGATGCATCCTAGAAGCCTCATCCCATTCAGCACTGTTTTCTTTACAAATGTCTGGGATCCAAAAGCACTATATTGTTTGCATTAAAATGTTCACAAGAAAATGATAATGTGCACTCGCTTCTCTTTACCACACTGCTGGGTCCTGGGGGTTCCATGGCAGGTGAGGAGGGCTTTCTACTTGGCCTTGGGGAGGCCGCTTCCACCACTGACATCAGCAGGGCCTGGTCATGGTTCTGAGCTTGGAGCAGTGGCTTGCGGAGCACACATGGGCAGCGTGCACAGCAAGGGGACACACTTGGGGAGCCCTTGATGCGTCTCCCTTAGTCCTTGTCACAGCCTATAAAGGTGGCAGCTTTGGCCCCATTGTGCAGACATGGAAACTGAGGCTCAGAGATCGTTTGTGGGTTATAGAAGTCACACAAGCAGAACCTGAACCCAGATCTGCCTCACCCCAAAGGAATCCCTGGCCTCTTCCAACGGTGAACGAACCCACTTCATATTTAGGCCCATTTCCATTTGCTTTTCAAAATTTCTGTTGTTAAATAACAAATTACTCAAGAACTTAGTGTTTTAAAATAATTTTTATTGCCTCACAGTTCCTGCAAGTCAGGAATCAGTGGCTGGTTCCCTGGCTCCGGTTCTCTTGGGGGCCACGTGAGGGTTATCAGCCRTGCCTCCCGCTCTCCGGCCTGCTGGCAGGAGCCAGATCCTCCAGGGATGCGCCCAGCCTGCCATCTCCCTTCACTGGAGGCCTTCACCTGGTCACTGGGTTCAGCCAGGCCCAGGGGAGGGCTCACAAAGGCAGGCTGGGGTCCCTGGAAACCTGTTCAGAGCCGTCTGCCATGGCTCCCATCAGGCCCTGGCTACACGGGTGGAGTTTGAACCACAGGTTTCTCCCTTCAAACTGGGAAGGAAGGTTCATTTTCCACGGAGGGCCAAATTCCATTCTGATCCTAATGGAGGAAAAGGAAGTGGGGCAGTAGTGGGTGGACACAGCCCACAGGAAGCTGGTCTGGGTCTGTGCCCCCCCAAGCCTGGAGAGTCTGCCTTGGTTGGGGACAGAAGGGACTCCTGGGCAGAGACCTACAGACCCATGTGGGAGCGACCTCRTCTGATCAGCACCAAGGTGACTGACGTCTCGTACTCAGCCCCCAGGAGAACTGCTCACAACCCCACCAGCCAACCACAGAGCCCACATGCCCATAGTGACGCGGCCACCTCTGAAAGGGTGCTAGGGAAAAGCAGATGTGCTGTTGGAACAGCATGGGCTCCAGGTCAGGCCTGTGCTCCAGAAGGGCTCTCAGCCTGGCCCGTTGCCTCCTCCCACGCTGACTTCAGCACCTGGCGATGCTCTCTGTGTTGCGGTGCAGGGCCATCCAGACCTTCTAAGACGAGACAGGAACATAGGGTCCCTGTACTGCATAATGACCCGAGTGGCCCAAAGAGTCCTCTTGGCCCCCTGGACCTCCTTACCCTGGCCCTGACTGCTTAGGTACACCATGAAGCTAGGGTGGTGGGGCCCCTAGCCACATGTTTCTATCTCATTTAATGCTTCCCAATAAGAATGTCAAGGATTATCATCCCCATCTTAGAAGAGGATGAATAAAAGACCAACTGAAGATCACAATGATTAGAAAAAATGGACAAGGCAGGATTCAAAGTCAGGACCTCAGKAGGACGCCAAGGCTCATGCCTGTGATCCCAGCAGCTCAAAAGACTGAGCCAGGAGGATTGCAAGTTCAAAGCCAGCCTCAGCAAAAGCAAGGTGCTAAGCAAAATAGGGCTGGGGATGTGGCTCAGTGGTTGGGTGCCCCTGAGTTCAATCCCTGGTACCCGAAACAAAACAAATTCGTGTTTCTTTTCTACTCTAATCCCTTGAGCCAGGTCCTTCAAAACTGGGAGAGTTTGTCAGAATGGGAGAGTTGGGTGTCGACATGGAACTGCTGGGACCTGGCTCCTGATGAGACAAGCATTCAGAGAGGCCTGTCCAGTGCCTGGGCCCTTTGTGTTGTATCTGTGGGTTCTGCCACCGATTCATCCTCCTCCCTGAACTTTATAAAATCGTTCCTGAGACTTCTTAATGTTTTATTGAGGTGCAAGTTTACGATGACAGCAAACCTTTCCAACTACAGCAAGAGTAACCTGCCTCCTTGGCATATTAAAAAATAATGTTAGTGTCGGTTTTTACGTCCCGTAGTTTGGATTGCTGATAAGAGYGCTTCCTTGACAAGATTCTTTTTGAGGTTTACAGAAAGCGTAATAAAATATGTAAGTTACATTTCCACAAACAAAAGCTATAACATAAGTTATTTATAAGCGTGAGATACAAACAGTATCACAATAAATAAACCATAAAGGGTACCTGCAACATCCATCTTAATGTAATTTGCCCAACAAAAGTGTTGAAACGAAGTCAAATTTAGTAGAGAAATCTGTCAGGAAGGAAGGAGAGTCGTATAGCACAAAATGGGGAAAATGGCTGATGGGTGGGGGAAGGAACCGTGGGAGATCAAGTCAAGTTGGAGGTCCCCGGAAAGCCACACAAGTGTTTGTCCACTGTCCACGGGGACTGCCTAGTCCTCAGCACACTGCACCAACTGTGGCTGCTCAAATGTCCTCTGCACCCCCAGCAGCCCCACGTGTGGGAGGGGGTCCCTCCTCACTCCCCCTCCTGCCCTGCACCTTGGTCTGACCCAGCCTTCCGACCAGTGGGCCAGTCATGCCACTGCCAGCCTCCGGGCCAGGCATGACCCCCTCAAGGCCAGCCCAGGGACCTGGAAGTCATTCAGGACCTGGACTCATTCAGTCACCCAGACAGATAAATCAGAGAAGGAGACCCAGCCTCTGCCCTCAGCTAGTGAGCAGGACACCCAGCAAGCTCGGTACTGGTAGCAGCCAGGGCCATGGTGGAGATGGACTTGGGGTGCTTGGCTTTGGAGGACCGGCAGAGAGGTGGTGTCTGGCTGGGGTCTTGCAGGAAGGTACAAAGGCACCAGCCATGAGAAAAGCCAAAATGAGCACACACCAATTCCTCCACCCAAACCTGACCCTTTCTCCTTCCACCTCTTCCACCCTGGCCACGAGCTGTCCAGTTTAACACCAAACTCTTAATGGTGACCCTCCAGTGGGCCAGGCCCTGGACCTAGCCCCAGGACATGGAATCCAATGCCACCAACACCCTTCTGCCCTAAGGAACCCCCAAGCCAGCAGGGAGATGACAGACTTGAAGGTGGCCAGCCCTCACCCCCACTCCTGGGCTCCTTTACCCACCTCTCCACTTGGCCCCATGACTTAGAAACTTCACTATCTACTCCAGAGTAGAAATGAGGCAAAGGGAAGTGGGCCGTGAAGTCCAGACAATCCAGGGTTCAAATCCCAGCTCCAACACTTCACTCCCCTAAGACAATCATCCTTGAAGCCTGTGACCTGCACTGGGAGTCCAAGCAGCACCCAGCACCTGATGGCTTGTTCTTCCCTCCCGATTAGAGTGTTGTGCACTTGAGAACTCCTCAGAAACTTTGTCCCCCAAGTCCTCCTGCTGGGACAGACTGTGATGAGAGGCTCGAGCTGCACTGCTCCCACCATCAGCAGGAGAGTCCCCAGGTTGGGACATGATCCAGGACATTCCAGCAGGTGTTCCATAAATAAATATTTGGAGAGTGACTAAATGAATGAATGAGTGGGTGAATGGATTGGGGCAGGTGTCCTCAGAGCCTCCATGAGGACAGCTGGAGGCCCACAGGCCTCCCACCTAGGCTTCCCAGATATGGCGGGTATGCCGGTGTGTTCTCGTCAATCGTTCAAACAGGGTAGACGACCCAAATGCACTTAGCCATAATTCAATCTCTACCCCATTTTACAGACAGGGCAATTGAATCCCAATTCACACACAAGTCAGTGCTGGAGTTAACCTGGAGAAACCCGGGCCTCCTGTGTCCTGGCTCACAGACCCGTGGGAAATTCCAGCATCCTGCCTCTCATCCCAGAAGCCCTGCCCTCTCCTACAGGACTCCCTGAAGGGACTAGCCCCAGACCAGACATGCTGTGGCCTAGGAGCCTCTGCATCCCCAGCAGTCCTTGCCCCTATTTCCTTAATTTTTGGAATTTGCATTTCCATTCTCTCCTTCAGTGTATGTCCTTCTCATTGTTCAACTGATAGCAGGGACAAAGGGCTGCAAAAATTACAGTATCGGAGACACCAAATACATATGAAAACCTTTTTTTTTTTTTTCCTGGTACTGGGAATTAAATCCAGCTGTACTCTACCACTGAGCTACATTCTCAGTCTGTCCCCTCAGCCACCCGCCCTTGGCCTTTTTTTCTTTTGAGACAGGGTCTCACTAGGTTGCTTAGGGTCTCACTAAATTGCTAAAGCTGGCTTTGAACTCCTCCTGCCTCTGTCTCCCCAGTCTCTGGGATTACAGCACGCGCCACCATGTCTAGCGCATCATATCGCAACATATTTGGTCAAGACACTGCTGATAGGAAAATGCATAGATTTTGATGAATTTATTTTTAAAAAGAAAAATGGCAACATAAATTAAATTCCCACTTCAAAGTAATAAATTAATTTGAAAAAAAAAACACTCATGAGAGATGACACAAAATAGAGGATAATGAAATCAAGGGCATTTTTTTTTTTAAGACCAATAAAATAGACAAAGCTTTGGCAATGTGATCAAGGGGAGGCTCAATGAGCAACTCAGGATGAAAAGTGGAGGATGTCAGTACAGATTCACGTGAGAGTTTCAAGTTACACGAGACTTCCATCTGTCAAAAGAATAAATGTGAAAACTTGGATGAGATGGACAATATTCTGGGCACTGGTTTCCAAACTTGAGCAGACATCAGAATCACCTGGAGGGTTTGTTAACCACAGATTGCAGAGGCCTGCCCCAGAGTTTCTGATGTCTAACAAACTCACTTCGAGAACCACTGGCCCAGACCTCTGCCTTCCCCAACTTAATGGCCTTCCTGAGCCATCTAATCGAAGCTTCTGTCCTGGGAATGAGAGGTTTGTGATCAGTGGCCCAAAG